GTCTCTTAAAGAAGGCATCTTTCCAACCGTATGGAATAAAAGCGGTAGCAGGTCCTCGGTGGAGAACTATTGGGTCATAGCTAAGCTGCTCATCTATAAACTTGATCTTCTTGGTCTTCACCCTAATTTTCTACGTTTGATCTCTGCATACCTCTATGATAGATCAAAAGGGTTATGTTTAAAAATACTATTTCTGACGTCATTGATGTTACTTCAGGAGTCCCGCAAGGTAGCCACCTAGGCCCGATTCTGTTCTACAGATATACAATTTTCAAAAATTTTAATGTACGCGGGTGATGTGAAACTTTATTAATCGTACGTATCAATCAAAGAAAAGCATTTTCTACAAGCAGACTTAAACAGCATGGCTAACTGGTGTTATGTAAATCTTATGCCTCTAAATCTGGAAAAATTTAAAGTAATGTGTTTCTCGCGAAGAGCTGTTCAGCCACTTTCTTATACAATGGATAACCATAATTTGGAACGGGCATACAATTTTGTGGACCTTGGTATCACAATGGATCCGAAACTTAATTTTAATCTTCACTTTAATGTGACAGTCGACAAGGCTAAAGGTGTACCTGCATTTGTGAAACGATGGTCAGAAAAGAATTTAGTGACCCTTATATCACTAAAACCCTGTTTACAGCATTAGTTAGACCGATTCTGGAATCCGGTTCCATAGTTTGGAATCCAAGGTATAAAATTTCCTCAGACAAGATAGAATCAATTCAAGAACAATTCCTACTTTTTGCTTTAAGAAATTTCCGTTGGGATTCTCAATGTAACCTTCCGCCTTATACGAGCCGATTAAAACTTATTAATCTTCCTCCACTTGCCTGTCGCAGGGAAATGCTTGGTACAATTTTTATGGTTAAATTACTGACAGGCTCAATTTCAAGTCCGCTTCTTCTGGGTGAAGTTAGCCTTTATGTTCCCTCCCGTGTATAAAGACACTTTTATCCCCTATTTTTGAAAACTTGTAAAACTAATTTTGAATTACACGAGCCACTCCGTTGGTTATACCAATATTTTAACTCTCATTCCATCATATTTCATATATCTGATTCGCTTTTCAGCATTAATAAATCGATACTATCCTATCTCAATAAATGCATTATTAACATAAAAACATAAAATCAGCTGATGAATTTAGTTCTGTAGCTGAACAATTTTTAATCTCGACACTTAACAAACTCCTGCCTATCGTGACTCGGCGCAAAAATTGAAAATATTGGTACGTCATGCGGACTGCGCCCCTCGTGCGGATGGGCGGGGAGGGGGTTAAAAACCGTTGGGATTATTATTATTATTATAAATTCCACAGTTATTACGCTAAAATCAAAATAATTTTGATATTTTGCTCATGCTTGTGTTATTGTACAATAATTTGTGTTGCGCATGGCGACAACTGCACAATTTTTAGTCTAGTTTTGACATTTTTGTGTCCAGATCGTGCTGTAAAATGTGGATAAGAGCGTAGAAAAAAAAGTTTTTTTTAATATTCTTTTTTTTGCGTTTTAAAGCTGAAGCTATCAAAATATACAACTCACATTCATATTCCTTGCACATATGTATGTATGTATTTACCTGAGCAACGTTTCTCCGAAATGGTGTTTGCGCAATTTTTTTGTGAAGTAATTTTCGCAGTATTGACTTGTACAAGTCTCGTTATTTATTATTTGTTTTCCAAATTTAAAAAATAACAGTTGTTTGCTATTTATACTTTTTATGATTGGCAACTGATACCTTTTTTTCTCACGCTCGCGGCAACGCCATCGGCAAGGTTTTAGTTTTGGATGTTAGAACTTTTTCATCGGTACAGAGTGGTTTGAAATTTGATGAAATGAAAAATCGACCTCTCTTTACTCAGAAACGGTTGCACGGCTTTAGATAAAATATGACACTCGGATCGCTTATAACTCTGACTATCATTTGGAATAGTTTTTAGATGTTTGAAATTAAATTTTGGGCGTTTTAACGCCATGTGGCTTCATTATTTGGTTAATAATTTGTGAAATACTTATAGTGGGATTCAGTAGGCAGTCTCTAGTCACAAATAGAGACTTTTGGTGGTGAAAATCGATTTTGAGACTATTTGGTATTCAGTAAGCTGTCTCACGTCACTAGTCTCAAAAAAAATTCACTAATTTGTCAGCTGGTCGTAAGCAGGTCACAAAACGAAAAATATGGAAGAAGAAATATTTGCTTTCTTTTTAATTTTAAAAAAGCGCGAAAATGAAGCCAGGTAATACTTTTTTAACAGCAAATTGTGTGTCCAAACGGGTGACCCGATCCAAAAATTTTTTACACAGACTTGTAGTCATGGTTCCAGGCTTTACTTACCTAATCTTGTTGGTCACGAATTCATTAATAAATTCGGTTTGAAATATGCACTTTTTTGTGAATTTTGGAGTGAGTTCAGCGCTAAAATACTGTGGATCGCGTAGCCGGAGTTGAATTTTTCTAAGCGCGGTTAACGTGGATGGCGTAGCCCGATTTTTCCTTTTCTGTGTAAAAATTCTAATTTTACCCTATTTTCAAATGGTTTCCCTGGGCGTTTGGAAGCGTTCGAGGGGACAGGTATATATTTTTACAAATTTTGAACTGTGCTCTTTTTATTGGGTTGAGTATAAAGAGTTATGCCTCCCCCCCTCAGCGCTGACTAACCCAAAAACAGTGGGCAAATAACTAAAAATTCCCCACAATTTTTAACAAACACGAGTAAATGAAACTTTTTTATGATCTAGGAACCCCGCAGGCGAGTTCTGGCAAGCTTGCGGGATAACGAAGATCCATTTTTTCTGGAGGAACAGACGTTTAGGGGGTTTTTCAGATTTCCAAAGTCGTGTTGCTGGGACCTTCTTCAGGAATTAAAACCGCACGACAAATACATTCGGAAATCTAGAATTCCATTTGAACTTCGAGTAAGGTTAATGGTCGAAAAAATATGTGTACTTTACTAAATACTGTTTTCATTTTAGTTTATTATTATTATTACAACGCTTTTATCAACTTGCAATGTTGTGTTCCAGAAACTTTCAATGTTGTGTGTCCGACACCATAAAGCAAAGCTTTGAAAAGCTCCTATAAAAAAGCATAGTGAATAGGGCGAGGTAGATGACATCTAGATGTCGCCCTATGTACTACGCTTGCTACACCGGAAATATACGACACGCGNGTATGTATGTGGGTATATGAATAACGACCGCTTAAAATCGATTTCAAAGTTCTACTTTCGCTGTAGAGATTTTAGGTCTACGTTATGTAGTTTGACTATTGTCAACTAAATCGAATGCTTTGTAAGTGAAGTGACTTGTGGACCACTTGAGGTATAGGTGGGCCAGTTGGTAACCACTTTGGGACCAGTTGGTAACTAGTTCGTGGGACCAGTTGGTATTCAGTCGGGGACCAGTTGGAAACTGGTTTGGGACTAGTCCGAAACTAATTACCTTCGGGCCAGTTGGTGACCAGTTGGTCTTTTTAAGCTTTTGTGGCCGTTTTAAGGGTAATTCTTGGGCTCCTGCACTGCCGCTCGGGGTTTCTGCCTTCTACGGTGGTAATTTTGGGCCGGGTTGCCTGTTTTGGCGGATTGTTGTGCTGTGTGCCGCGTATTACGTGTACCGGGTACCACTTTCTCAAGAAATACGTTTATGGTAAAATTTTGGAAAATGGGCGTGGCACCGCCCACTTATGATCACATATAAGTATATCGGTAATCGTTCTACCAATTTGTACCAAACTCGGTGTGGTTATTGTACTTGCCACATAGAAGCAAAACGTTGAAAAATATTGAAATCGGACTAAAATAACGGCCGA